CTGGCCTCGAACTCACAGAGATCCGCCTGCCTCTGCCTCCCGAGTGCTGGGATTAAAGGCGTGCGCCACCACCGCCCGGCTACAGGATTATATTTCTATACATTTCAAATATAGGTAAAATGAAACTATTCCCTGTGTGTGCACCCTGGCGTGAGTATGTGTGTGTGTGTGCATGTGTATTCACATGTGTGATGGTCAGAGGGTATCTTTCAGGATTTGGTTCTTTTCTTCCAACATGTAGACTCCAGGGATTGAACTCGGGTCATCACTCTTGGCATCAAGCCCTTTACCCACTGGGCCATCTTGCCTCCCTCCAAGCTATTATTGCTTTTCAAATGTAAGGCCATGAACAACTAAAACGGAAGGGACAGAGGCACAGACAGGGCTGCCTGTGTCGGGTGGGCTTGGGAGTCGGGAGGGAGGCTTCAGGGGAGGGAAGCAGTTGGTCTGTCCACACTTCCCTCGCGTTTCATGAACTTTCCCTCCCCTTCCTTTTGAAGAACAGTGTATGGGGCAGGGGAAACATCCAGAGAAGAATGAGGAGGTAGCCCCAGACACTTCTACCCCTGCTGGGACCGGTGGGTCCACCCCCTAAGCCCCAGTTTTACCTCGCATGTCTTGTGTTTCCCATGCAAAGTGCTAGCTCTCACTTTAGTAAGTTCTGAAGTTTCGTGTGTTTGGTTTATCCGAGATTGTTCTCTCCCATTATCCCAGGAGCCTTCCCTGACCCACCCCTGCCCAGGGTGGGTCCGGAGGCAGAGCTCCCTTGGAGAGAGACTTCGGGTACTCACTTGACAGTCAACCAATCACCTTTGAAATCCATCTGACAACTGTCTATGTCCCTTCCTGCAATTTAGAAAGCCACCATCTTGGGCCATTGCTCCATTCTGCAGATGAAGAAACCGAAGACCAGAGAGGCTAGGTGACTCGTCTGAGGATGCACAGCAAGCGGCCCAGTGGCAGAGTTAACCTCCACTTGTCCCATTTCTCTGCCCCTCCCATCCCATTCCCAGCCCTCTTTGCAAGGTCTAATCCAGAAGCCTGCTCTGAGCTCTGCACCTGAACGAAACGGCCCCCACCCCGGCTTGCTCCTCGCTGAGAGTCCAGTGGCCGAGCCAGATGCGGCAGCCATTGCTCAAGGCGGCGAGCAGGGAGGGCCGCGGCTCCTGCGAGGCTTATTGCACCATCACTCACTTCCTGTCAGGCCTTATTGCACCAACATCTCCTAAATGACAGAGTTGGATTCATTAACTGTAAATTCAATCAAACTTGAAAGAGAGAGAAAATAAAAGTGACTTGGAACAAGAGGAATGGAGGGTGCTAGCGAGCCGCGTGGAAGCTGAGGGCTCAGGCCCTTTTCGACTCTCAGCCTCGGGCAGAAGGCAGTTCCTCTCTGAGCTCTGCGAGGGCACAACTGCCCCCAGCCTGTGGTGAGGCCTTGGTTTGCTCCGTAGGTGGGGGTCACATCTTCTCCGTGCAAATGCGCGGAGGATGGGATGGGGGAGGGGGTTATCGGGAAGGGAGGCGATGACGATGTGGGATCAGATCACAGGCAGAAACACTCTCGCTAGGGGGTCCCCGGCTTGCAGCCGCGAAGCGAGGGAGTGGTCAGTGCACGGCATAGTTGGAACTACTCGTTAGGGAGGTCCTCAGATCTCAACGGTGCATTTTTGATTCACAAGAGAAATGCCCTTTATGTCTTGGGGAATGGCTCAGTGGGTAAGGCGCTTGCTTGGCAAGCCTGAGGACCTGAGTTCGGATCCCCAGGGTCCTCCTCGTATATGTGTCTCTAAACCCGCTCCTTAGGAGGCAAGGCTGTTTTCTGACCTCCACACATTTGTGTGACACACACACACACACACACACACACACACACACACACACACACGGAACAAAAGCCAAGAATGTCTTTTCTCTCAGGGTGTGTGTATAAAAGCAGAACCATTTTGTACCGCAGCAGACACATGGTACTTTTTTGTTGTTACATTGTTTGGTTTGGTTTGGTTTTCCCACCCACTGAATTGATTGTATGAGCTACTATTGAACACCTTAGACAAGGTCACAGCAATCTGGAGAGCAGCTGGGACTGGAAACAGTCTTCTTGGGCCCCTGATCCATCCAGGATGAGTCTGTTAGCTATCCCTGTCTGGTCTAGGGGCACGGTGGTGAGCACCCATCCAGAAGCAGAGGGAGGACAGAAGTGGTTGACTGAGTGGCGGTGGTGGTGGTGGGGAACAGGCAGGCGTCAGCAGTAAGGATCAGGAGAAAGGGCTCCCAGAAGCGCTTGCACTCTGAGGGGAATCTGATAATCAGGGGTTGAGTGGGGGCATTCAGCAAAAAAGCCAACCCAGGGGTCTGGTCCTGATTCTGCCACTGTAGTGCCCTGAGCCCTTGGAGGGGACACTTCTCTCTGAGTTTCCGGTTTACCTTTACAGGTGTGAGGAGGGTCCTCGTGGAATGTCCCCCACGCTTGATTGAGAGGTGACTCTAGAAGTTCCTTTGGACCTCCTACGGGCCGCTTTGAAGCACTGCCACCTACTGGTCACTTCCTCTCATTACACCCCATCGGTTGGGAGGGCTCTATAGGTAATTCACCCACATCCTGCAAGTTCTCTAAATCTACAGAACAACCTTGTCGGAAAAGCAAGTGTCCTTAATTTATCTCATGTACAAGGTAACTGGAGGGCAGAGAGGTGAAATGACTTATTCGAGGACACACAGGAATCCCACATGGATGTCCTGGCTCTCAATTCAGGCTTAGGATTCAGCTGTTAGTGACAAAACCCAGTAGTCTGTGTGGCTCTGGCTGGGACTGGACTCAGTCTGGCCAGAAGGAAGGGAGATGGCTCCAAGATGAGGTATATTTCACACTGACTAGCTTGCTTCTGGCTCCCAGGAAACCCAAGTGGAGGAATGATTGTCAAAGAATGATGTCGTCTGCCTGCGTCTTGCAGGAGGTGTCACAGAGGGCCGGGGGATATCTCCCTGCTGACTTGGTTCCTGCTCAGAGCCTGGGGGGCACTGCTGGTTTCCTGAAGAAATGAGTGGATAGGGTGGGCTGGGGCTGGGGCTGGGGCTGGGGCTGGTGGCAGGAGGGCTGGTTCTATGGTCAGAGTCCGCCCCTGCCGTCCATCCTACTGGCCATATGAGCTTGGACTTGTAGGGAAACTGTCTACCAAGTAGGGACTCTGTTTCTTCATTTGTGAGATCAGGACACCCGTCACACCTTAGCTCCCCGCCCGCTGTATGGATCAAGGGAGGTAGTATCCTAAGGCACAAGGGTGCTCGGCACATGGTACTTAGCAAAAGGTAAACACTTCTATTGGTGTTGAAACAATCTGGATTTAAGTGCTCTCTGTCATTGACTCTTTTACTGACCTTGGGCAGCACCCCCTTCCCCCAACCCCGCCCCCAGGTCTTCACCGAGGTAGCTGGATTGTTCTGCTGAGCTGTCCTCTGGCTGCATGGTGACTCTGCCACCATTGGACGCCCCCGTTCAAGGTCAGAGGGAGGTGGTTTTGGCGAGGGCCCATGCACATCTCTGGTTAGAATGGCTCTTTTCTTTCTGTTCTTCTTGGAACTATTTTAAATAGCAAGGTCAAGCAAGCAGAACTACAAATCAATTCAAACAAAAGCGCTGAGGCACATACCCTTGAACTCCAGGGACTTAAAAATAACTTCCCCGTCATCCCCAGCCAAATGCCCAGTATCTGGGATCCCTGTCATCGTGGGCTAATAAACCACCTACATGGGAACTGACCAGAAGGAATCCAATCAAAGTGGCTGAGACGCCCGCTCGCATTCACAGGGCTGCAGGTCTCCTCTGCAGTCCCGGGGCTACATGGAGAGCTGGCCACATTCTCACGAACAGGAATATCAGCAGGACTGGCCTAACCATCTTAGTAATGACCCCGCTGCTCCAGTAGCCAAGTGTGGCCAGCCTGCGCGGAATGCTTCCAAGTTCTACCTTGCACACTGGGTCGGGGCAGGGGCGGCGGGGGGGGGGGGGGGCGAGGGGAGGTGTTGGGGATCACTTCGCCAGGGCTGGGGAGGGTAGCTGAGAAAGTGGGAGTGGTTATCTAGAAAAGGAAAGGAAAGGGGGTGCGCAAAGTACTTACGTATGCCTGGCATGTGCTAGGTGCTTCAGATCAGTTCGTTCCCCACAACTACGCTGTATGCGGGATGTCTGGGTTTTAGAAACTATACCTTTATTGAGGTAGAATTACTGCCTATTCATCTTGACATGCACGGCCCAGCAGTTTTACTATCTGTCAAATCCGCAAACATTGCTACTATAGTTCGGGGACTCTCATTACCTCCCACAGGAACCCTAAACCCTTTAACAGTTATTCCCTACCCTCACTTCAAGCCTCTGGCAACCACTCACCTGTGTTCTGTCACACAGATAACTGAATCTAGCTATCTCACAGGCGTGAATTTATATAATATACAGCTTCTTTAAAGACAGGGACCACTGTGTAGCCCAAGATGGCCCTGAACTTACTATATACCTTAGGCCGGCTTTGAACTCATGATCCTCTACCTCAGCCTCCCAAGTGCTGGGATTACAGGCGGGTGACACCATGCCCAGTCAATATGACTGGTTTCTTCCATGTACCATGATGCTTTTGAAGTGCACCCATGTTGCAGCTCTATTTTGTGACTGAATAATATTCCACAGTACAGCTAAAATCCACTGTGGATTTCCAATGATCAGGTGAGGCTCTCCACTGGTTGTCTAGTATGCTGCTACTGCTGTGACCATCCTCCGGGTGTTTTTGTGTACATATGTGTCTTTAATTCCTTCGCCAATGGCAGAGTGGGTCTACTGAGTGAGGAACTCCTGGGTCATAGGTTACTACCGTATTAGTTTCCAAAGTGACCAGGCCTCTGGAGCTCAGTTTCTTTGCATGTCCATCATGTGATTCTGTATCCTTGCAATTATGGCCATCACAGCAGACATGACATGGCCCTGCCCTATGGTTTGGGCTTTCTTTTGCCTGTTCAGTGCCTTCCATTATGTGTGTGTCCTCCTTCAGACGTGTAACAAATCTTTCAGTATTTGGAGAAACAACAACCTTCAAACCATCTTGAGCTGCAATACTTCTTTATGTCTTCTGCACACAATTCTCATATCAGATGCATGAGTTGCAGGTTACTTCCTCCCATTTTTGGTAGCATCTTTTTAATTAAAAATATTTTATTCTTTGAAGTCCAGTTGATCTGTTTCCTTGGAATTTTTGGCGCTATGCCTAAAACAACATACTGTTTCATCTGAAGCCACCTGCATCTATACCTCTATTTTGTCTAAGGGTTTTATTGTTCTAGCTCTCACGTTTGGATTGATGGTCCACTTGGCGTTAGTTTTAATAACGGGCAAAGGGTAAGCTTACTCATTTGCATGTGGAAAGCCCATATATCAGCTGACTTTTATTTATTTATCAAGAGACAGGGCCTCACATTTCCCAGGCTGGCCTCAAACTCACTGTGTAGCCAAGGGTGGCCTTGAACTTCTGATCCTCCTGTCTCTCCCTCCTGAGAGCTGGGGCTACAGGGGTGCTCTACTGGACCTGTTTGTGTGTTACTGGAGATTGAACTCTGGGTTTCACGTGTCCTAGACTACCACTCTGCCAACTGAGCTGTGCCCTCGGGTCCCAGACTATTTACTGACAAGACTACTCTGCCCCTTGAATTGTCTCAGCACCCTTGTCTAAACTCAGTCACCAGCCATAGATGTAGGGCTTGTTTTCTAAACGCTCAGGTCTGTGCCCTTGATCTCTGTTCCAGTCCTTAGACCAGTACTATGTTGCCTTCGTGTGCTCGACAATTTTCTGTCAGCATGACACAGGCTAGTCATCGGAGGGGAGAGAGCCTCAATTAAGAAAATGCCTCCATAAGATGGGACTATAAGAAAGCCTGTAGGGAATTAGTGATTGATGGGGGAGGGCCCAGCCCATTGTAGGTGAGGCCACCCCTGGGCTACAAGAAAGCAGTCTGAGCAAGCCATAAAGAGCAAGCTAGTAAGCAGCACCCTTCCCTGGCCTCTGCATCAGTTCCTGCCTCCATGTTCCTGCCCTGTTTGAGTTCCTGTCCTGACTTCCTTCAGTGATAGACTACAATATGGAAGTGTAAGCCAGATAAACGCTTTCCTCCCCACATTGCTTTGTTCATAGTGTTTCATCTGAGCAATAGTAATGCTACCAAAGACACTCATTCCTGTTGATTTGGAGAAAATGTTGAAACTGAAAATTGGTCTTTACATTTTCAGTATAGTTTGGTTAATCCTGGCCCCTTACATTTCTGTGGGGTTTAGGATCAGCTTGCTGA